GCCCCCCCTCCTATACGCGTGCCTGTTCTGGAATGACTCAGCAGTTTGTGCAGAACCGGCACAGCCTATCTACTCATGATCCGCGTCATATCGTTATCCCTTAATTTTTGACGCAGACATATGACTTCCAGTTGATTCGTACGGTTTTTTCACACAAAAAAACGGCAAAATTAAGAATTAATACCTTATCCGTCGATGATTTATATTTTTGAAGTTTCCTTTGCAACTCTAGAATTCTCGAGTGTTGAGAGCCACGTCTCTTCGGCCCACCAGATAGAATTTAACAATTACCAAAAGATTTCGAAATCGTATATTTCGATACGAGTGGGACGGAATTTCACGGAGTGTAAACTAGGCGATCCGGGGTAAAGCCGGGGGATGCCAATTACACGAGCTGAAAATTGGCGACTCACATGTGTCGCACAAACAATATTTTTGGGCAGTGATTATACGTTACGTTCAGCGAGTGTCGAACTGTGAGCCGGTTAGTTCATGTTCCTTTTACATTGAAGGTCCGTTTCCCAAACGGTCTGGTCATTCAATTCGTATGTTGTATCGTTGACTAGTAAACGAAAAGTTTTTCCGTTTACTTTTTGTTTACGAGTAAACGAAAAGGCACTTTTCGGCACAGAATGAACGTAGCAGCAAAGTGAAAAATAATAATTCTGTGGTAATCGCAATGTGCACACAAAACGTTATGATGGCTAAACCACATGTACGAGACCAACAAGCCGATGTTTTTTCGGTTTACGTGGATTTAAAGCAGTGATGACTCCTTGTATAGAGTAGCCGTATTGCAGAGTGATTCCAAGAAAGAGACATGAATTGTAATTTTAATTCCAACCGAAATCACAAAGGTGCTGATATTTCGAGAACTAGAAACGCGTACAAGAGATCTTTTCATATGGATTGTTGCATATATTTACAGTTTTGATGGAACCAAAGTAGTATGCCAAAGTATGAATTTTCAATAAGGAAATCACAGTAAATTGTAGTGAAATTGTGGTTGATTGGACATTGCCCCACAATAAAAGCCGTATAACTCTGTCTCGAACCTTAACCATTGTTGTCCTACCATGAATTCGTGCATCACTATACCTTCCGAGGCACGAGCAGCTCGTCTGTCCCTTATAATTTACTTGGCTGAATAGAACAGACTCCTTTATTCCGCACAATTCACCTCTTATTATTTACCTACATATAAATAAGAGAATTTCAAAATTGTACATTGTCACTTAGACTTGTATTTTGTGCTAACTTTACCCATATTATTCCTTCATATTCAACTTTTCGACGTAGCAATGAAAATAAACACAAAAACATTGACCATACCGTTATTTTCTCTAATTCATTGTAACGGTCGAAGCATAAGGTGTATGAATCACTTTTTAAAAAATAAGACAGACATGTTTTTTTGCTCTTGTCATTATTTTCAAGTGTTTCACGAAGTTTCATCATCGCTCAATTATTTTCCAAAATATTTTTTGAATGTTCACACAATTCTCGACCAAATCCAAAATATGTTTACATAATAATAAAAGTTGATGACCTACTGAAAAGTAATTAAATACAAAAATGTTACATTTGAAGGAAATGACAAAAACGTAGAAATATGTTGAAAAGGATGGATAGAATATGGAGAATATCAACTTCGAAAATCGGGCTTACACTGAATGATCAATATGAACATGAAGGTACTCAAATGCTCTTCTCTAGTATTTTTCCGGCCTGTAGTTATAAGATTACGTGTTATTCATATGGTTAGCCGCCTTGTCTTCGACGCACCTTATCAAACTCCATACGTGGAAAAAAGCATCATAACTACAGCCCAGAAACAATAATCTTCCCTATGTAATAAACATTTCCAGATGACAATCACCAATATGTAGTATCTACCAGATACTCTGGCTTACGCACGTAAGAGAATGCTTGTAGAGGTAGTTGGAGAAATGCCATAGTTTAAGCGTTTTCTCTTGAGCAACTTGAAAAAGTATCATTTATTAGAATAATTATATTCATATGAATTAGTTTGAATTTTACTCATGAATCGAGTAGTAACATTACCATCGAGTAATAACGAATATTTTCTCTCTGTTACAGTACGGTTTCAATATGGTTATTCAACACCGTGAGGCTATAAACTGCATTGCCCTTTCCTTGATTCACAAGAGTTTGAGAACGAAAGCTCTAGTCCTAGAATTACTTGCTGCTATTTGTCTTGTAAAAGGCGGGCACGAAATAATTTTATCGGCTTTTGATAATTTCAAAGAGATATGTACTGAACGAAAGAGATTTGAGACGCTTATGGCATATTTTACACAATATGACAGTTTTCACATTGAATTTATGGTTGCTTGCATGCAGTTTGTCAACATCGTCGTCCATTCCGTCGAAGATATGAATTTCAGGGTACATTTACAATACGAATTTACCAAACTGGGACTTGATGAATATTTGGAGAAGTTAAGGCATACAGAGAGTGAAGACTTGCAGGTAAATACTGAAAATTCTCGCAAGCAATTTTACATTAATACGTACTTTTAAATATATTTAAATGGGAAAGTGTTAAAAGAATGATTAAGAAGTATTTATTTACGGTATAACATTTCTATGACTGCCAGTCTTCATAAAATATTTTCATATTTCTTTCAAAAACGCCAAATACTAAATTTAAGAGAAATAAAAAAAAATAATTATGATCTTTTTAGGTTCAAATCTCCGCTTATTTGGATAATGTATTTGACGTAGCAGCACTCATGGAGGACAGCGAAACAAAGACAGCTGCATTGGAAAAAGTTGCTGAGTTAGAAGATGAACTTGGACACGTAAATGACATTACATTCGTTGATTTTTCGTGAACTTTTTTTTTTATTAATATTCCGGCCTTTTCTGCCCTTTTCTGGCTAATTGGCCCTATCTCACCCTACGCATGTGGTTGTGGATCCTACACTGTACCGCATTCACTCTCCTATAGAACATAGGAGTGACATGGGAAACCACAGGAAAACCATGTCGGTACCTTATCGGTGCCTGTTGAAAAATTCGATTCAACGGGGAATCGAACTCACAACTTTCAGAACACTAGGCACGCACCCAGCCACTGAGCTACCGACGTTGGTTTTCGTGAACTATCATACATGTATTGATTTGCTGGATCACAAATAGTGTCAAACACAATTGAAAGAAGTTCAGGATTAAGGCCCTCGTGGACACGAACTTTTTTTTCATTCTATCTTGTTAGCCTAGAATACATTTTGAAATATGCCATCAATTTCGTGTTGCGAGAACGAAAGATCACGATCTATAAGTGTCCATGAGGGCCTTAAGTGGGGATGTTGTAGACACGATCAAACAGCAGGAAATAGCAATGTGAAATAGAAATTTCGGAATAATGCTAAAGAATAGTAATGATCCTTGATACACAACAGGTATTGTAGTAAATTGAATCATTCTTCAACTATTCAAAAGCGAATCCGCTAATTTCAAATTTAGAAATCTCCTGAAGAGGTTACAGTTTGGTTTTTGTTCTTATGCTTTACGGAAAACTATTGAAATTTGGTAATTAAAATGGTAAAATAACGGAAATAACCGAAAACTCTCAGTCTTGTTATGAACTTTGTTCTTGCAAGATATATGCGCAAATTGGGAACTTTGTCGAGAAACAAATTGGAAACAAAAACTGAAATGGTCTGTATGTTCAGTGGCATATACGCCTGAAAGTTTTCTTTACTGACAAAAATCGAGGGTATTTATACACCTATTATTTCCCAAAAAATTTCAGATCAGAAAATATTCACTCATTTTGTTATTGCTAACACTTAAAAGAAACCCATAAAGTTATGATGTCATGGAGTAGGGAAGTCCAAACAAAAAATCTAGTACAAACAGAAAAAATTGATCCGATAAGAGGTCTGGTGGAGAAATTTGATTTTACATTTTTCTTTAGACTTTTTTTCAACTGTAAGCCACTAAAAACAATTACAAAAATTAGGTTCATCGATTTCGTCAAAAAAATATGGCTCTTCATGTATCTATGTATTTTGGTAGAGCGGACCTAGAAAGAAAATTGTAAAAGGCCATTCGGTGTCGTTTCCCAATTTTTTGAAAAATTATATTTGAATTGCGCGGGCAGAATTTTTCGGTGCTAATTTAGGAATTCTCGAATTTCTGAAGTATGTACTACCAATACCAAAACGATAAACTGTGCGAAACAGTATGGAATAGTATATTAGACAAGTGCGTGGATGCAATGGATTTTTTGGCTCGCCTCCAACTCGTGTTACAATCCCATATGCCCACAAATCCATAACGCACGTACTTCGTATACTATTTTATGTCGTCGATTATGGGCGCCTATGATATAAAAACAATTATTACTCCAACCTCTCTATATCTGTTGCATTCCAAAATATTGCTCACAAAAAAATTTCCAGTTTTGACTGGTCTGTTTTGTTTCAAGTCTTCAACTCTGACCTATGTGCTGAATCATAATATTCTAGAGATTTAATAAAACTTGAAATAGGCATATTTTATGTATCCCATCACAGATGACAAGAGCCTTCATTTCTGATAAGGTTCAATTGACTTTCCTTGTTCATTATTTGTAATTTCTTGAAACTGTTTATTCTAATCCTTATTATTTTTCGTGCATTAAGTTATATCTCACATGATTCCAACGGCACAATCGATTTTTCATCTGACCGTCTTCAAGTCTACATGATTGCGTTGGATTTATACGTTCCAATAATAGTTCCGTTCCAATGTCTAATACTTAAAATTTCGTTGTTTGATATTTTGATTTCGGTATGAGGATAAAATTGGCATTTTTTAATTAGTTGAATTAGAGGCATTCATACAATCAGCGATATTCATAACACTATCATGGGCGTGCAAACTTGCACATGATGTGCTACGCTCTAAAGATCTGAAAGTTTGATTTACTTAGGCGTTGTGTAAGTCGGCTCATGCCAATGAAAAATAATTACTCAATAGATCCGGATTTTGAAACAGCGAAGTTTGCCTTAATATGAAAGGCGGAGTGTGAAATAATTATACTGGTATGATGCTATCGTTATAAAATCCGTTCGGGATAAGAAACTGATACGCGAAACTTGTAAAAAAAATTAATGGGAAACTAAAAAGAATAACAAACAGTGAGTATGGGAGGTCATCACATTTCATTCAGTCATCGAGGTGACAAACAAAATTTAAGTAATCCGTGGTGGAATACCCACAGTATATCCAGTTTCTAAATTGAATAACATCTAGGATAAAGTCATTACTATTTATTGAGTGTTGGTTTGCAGAAATTACGTTTCTTAAAAATTTTAACCAGCAGCAGAAAATAGCCTACTGTAACCTGGATAAATTAAATATTTTATATGTCCCAGCGGGAGTAAATAGCGTGATTCTAACCTCGCTTCGCTCGGTTCGATCGCGTTTTGTATCCCTTGGGACATAAAATAGCATATGCACTACGACCGAAAAGCATTTTCTCCCGGGGGGTGCATAATACACTATTATCGTGAGGCCCAGATGGGTCGTCTATTGAACGCAATCTTTTGTTTAAATTTTAGCTTATTAACCTAAAATATATTAAACTTTGGGATCGAATTTTCGTTGCCGAAACCACTTGGACGGATATAAAATGATAATGGAAAAAAAGTGGAAAAATTATTGAAGGGCGCTAAATCGCGATATTGGTTGAAAAGGATTTACCAAGTATCAAAAACAATAATAAAAAATACGCAGCTTACCATTGCGTTCAGTTGTCACTCAATCCAGTGGAGAGCAATGGTAAATTGTGTGTTTTATGATTTTTTGTTCACTTTACATCTAAACTTACTTACTTTCCTCTCACGGTACATCTCTTTCAATTAATATCAAGATTTGGTGTCGTTTACTTTATTTTTTCTTTTTTTTTCTTCCTTAACTTTTTCGAACCACTCTAGTGGTTCCTGCAATACAAATTTAATCTCAAATTTTCAGGTATTTCAGGCTAACCAGATAGAATTGAAACACAAGATTACATTCAATAAATCGTCCATGCGGGCCTCGAATCAAACTCGGTCCCCAATAAATGTTCCAAATTAATCATCAACTCCATTAAATCTTGTGAAAAAATTTCAGGCACATGATAGAATGACTGAACTGGAGCGTGAGTCTCTTTTAAAGCTCGCAGAGCTCGAAACAGAACTTGGTGCCATTAAAGTTGAATATGCTGATACATTGGATGCTAAGCGTCTGGTCGAAGAAGAACTTACTGCCTTAAAACGTCAGCGTCAGGACTCAGCACGTCGCCAAAGTGTCCTGGAGTCGAAGATTATTGAGCTGGAAAACCTGACAGGTACCTTAACCAAAGGTAGCAGCACGAACCTTGCCAATGGTTCTCCATTGATCTCTCCTTCGTCCTCCATATCTGAAACCTGCAATTCCTTCGCGATCCCCTTACAACCTCAAAAAGTGTCTCTACCAGCTACACCTGTACCTGCACCTCCTCCTCCACCACCGCCTCCCTGTCCGCCACCTCCTCCAATGATATCACTAACTCCTGGAGACAAACTCCCAGCCCCTATACCAATTCCACCGCCACCAGCAGGAATGATGCAGGCTCCAGATGGTGCAATGACCATTAAACGTAAAGTGCAGACTAAGTACAAACTGCCAACACTCAACTGGATTGCATTGAAACCAAATCAAGTGCGGGGAACTATTTTCAATGAATTGGATGATGATAGATTGCATAATCACATTGATTTCGTGGATTTTGAAGAAAGGTTTAAGATTGGAATTGGCGGGATTGTGGCGAATGGGAATAGTGAGATTGACGGACTCCAGAGTTTTCCATCAAAAAGATTCAAAAAACCGGAAAATGTGAGTTTGTTGGAACATACAAGGTTGAGGAACATTGCTATTTCAAGAAGGAAAATGGAGATGCCCGTGGAGAAGGTGATTGCTGCAGTAAATGCGCTAGATTTGAAAGTGTTATCATTAGAAAATGTTGAGTTGCTGCAGAGGATGGTGCCTACTGGTAAGATCTATTTTATCCTTCACTATATAATGTCCTTATTTTCAGCCGCAGTTCGTCGATTAACATCTGGATGTACTATCTATCAAACGTAATCTTTGGTTTATATTCTACTTTTTTAGGAAAAAGGCTCTCTAAACTTACGATTCAACTTATATTGTGGTAACCACTTCAAAGGTTCTTAAATAATACAGATTCAAAAGAGGAAAAATTGTTAAAGGGGCGCAAGTCGAAATACTGGCTCCAAGGGATTTGCCAGGTTTGCAGAAAAATAATTCGAAAACATCAACTTTGCTAGCAGCCACCATGATGGAGAAAAAAATATAGCATGTGCACCTCGGGCACGAAAACACTGACTTTCCATATAATAACAAAGAAGAATCAAAATAGACTGTCAAATGTTACCTATGGCGAACTGCGTATTTCTCATTATTTTTTTGTACCTGGCACATGGAGAGAAGCATTCAACAAAAATTATGTATTTCTTTCCTTATTCCCGAGCAAAGATCTTCCCAGAGCGTTCCGTATTTTTTTCTGAATTTTCTGTGAACAATTATGTTAACAATTAAAGTATCATAATTTTAATTGAATATTTCTCTCCTTTGGAATCAATGTCTTGATCTGCCTTCTTTTACCAATTTTTCCTCTTCTTTATCTTTATTTACATTATTATTTTGTACTCCTTGGAGTTGTTTCTGTAACACAATTCTAAACCCAGATTTCGAAATATTTTACACTGACAAAATAAAATCCAAAAGGCAATACATAATTGCGCGTAGTCAATTTGCCCGCTTGCCAGTCAACTTTTAGAAAATGGAAGGAATATGAAATTAAGATTATTCCAAAAAATCTATAGTATATTGCTCACCTAAAAGAGGAAAAGTAGACGAGTCCTTCCCACGCGCAAAATTACCACCCGAGCCGAAGGCGAGGGTAGTATGCACGTGGGAAATGCTTGTCCGATTATCCTCCCGAGGGTTGCATACGATTTTTCTGCCAAAATGCGGCGAAAGTGACGTTTTTAACCGAACGAAGTGAGGTTAGAATGCTCACTTTCGGCGCATGTAGGCAGAAAATATTTTTACAATTATAGGTATTATCAAAGATTAAGTGTATGCCCATTTAATTCATTTATAATTGTTTGATTCCTCGAATAGACCAAGAAATCAAAGCCTATAGAGAATACATAATTGAAAAGAAGAACGTGAATCTTTTGACGGAAGAGGACAAATTCTTAATGCAACTTGGGAAAGTTGAAAGAATCTCCACCAAACTAGCCATAATGAACTACATCGGTAATTTCTTTGATAATGTTCATCTTATAACGCCTCAAATTCACGCTGTGATATCCGCTGCCAGCTCGGTTAAGAGTTCGAAGAAATTACGGGCTGTTCTGGAAATCATTCTGGCGTTTGGCAATTATCTCAATAGTAGTAAGAGAGGACCTGCATATGGTTTCAAGCTACAGAGCTTGGATACTTTACTAGACACCAAAAGTACCGATAAAAGGATGTGTTTACTGCATTATATCGTAGCTACTACCAGGCTCAAATTTCCAGAATTGATCAATTTTGAGTCCGAATTGATGTATATTGATAAAGCAGCAACTGGTAAGAATTCCCTTTTCTTTTTCCATTACTCTGTTTTCCTCATTTTACAATTTTTTAAATACATTTCTATTCTTATTCGTAGAAGAGAATATCCTTCAAAATGCGAATGGTTGTACATATGTATGTACTTTTTGACAATGTAATCTTTTAAATGTATTTTATTTTAATCAATGTGTACAATTTTAATAATTATGTTCTTGCCCGCATATATATTTCCGTGATAATTTGTTTGTTCTGAATTTAAATCGGGTTTATTGCAGTATAGCAGCCCATTTTGCAATATTGATAAAAAAAGCGGGCCCGAATTCCAAAATTTTCAAAATTTTTTCAAACGTTCAAAATTTAAATTACAGGCCAGTATAAATAACAGAAAGAATCCACATATTTTGTTGCCAATTTTCTCAACGTGCTGAGAGATATATCAATTTCTTTCTTTAGGCAAGAGGGTTCTACGAGATACTGTTTAAACTATAGAAGATCTTGAACATTGTTAATAACCTTTTTCATAGTTAAGTTTTCAAACTTTAATATTTGAAAATCAGTACGGAAAAATATTGTCCGGGTTGATGGGATAAAATTTTTTCAGTCGTGTGGCTGGCCGGTCTTCGTCTTTGAGACGAACGCGAACTCCACAAGTAAGAAATATACTAATGATAGATTTCCAATAAACACACCGATATTTAATTTACAATAATAGTCAATTTGTGAGAGTACAGTACGATTCTCCGGACGAAATCAAGTCGATACTACTGAACTTTCATTTGCATTTTTTTTCGACCAGGAGCATGCGGAAACACGAATTTTCTGGTAAAAAAAATGTTTATTACAGCCACTACGTTGAAAACATATTACCCTTTACATGGGAGAGATGTCCATAGCTAGAGCTAAAAATAACCACTTTTTTGTAATTCGAAATGCATTTAATTAATAGGGAACGGTCGGACAAAATGGACTGGTGAACGTTTTTTTTGAATTGCTGTTTGGATAACTGTTAACATGAACTTTATTGTATGAAATCTTTATTTACATACTTATGGATTGAGTTGGCGATTTCTTAGTGATTAAAGACGACATTGACAAAAGAAAATCGAAAAAAACAAACAAAAAAACAAAAGAAACCTTAAAAAATAAGTACGACATTTTTGTCTCCTATTGATCAGGCAAATTTCTTTCTGGTACTTCTGGGATAGATCTTGCCTCCTCGTGAGCCACATCTGGGTTTATTTGCTGTAGGCCTCAGTCTTTTCGGTGCACTATTTTTTTTACCTTACTGTTATGCTCCAGATTTTGGTTAATTGCGTTAGTGTTAAATATTTGGACATCCAGCATTGTCAGCGCGACACTTGCCAGCATAACTGGATTATGCTAGCCAAGTAATGATACACAAAAAATTACGTATTTAAGAGGCCGTTTGGGTATGCAGAAGGTAGATCCAAGTCGTGCTGCGACATGTGTTAGTCGTAATATTTGTAATCAGTCAGATGACATGATTAAAGTTATAAACTCTCATATTAAAATACCTATAAACTATTGGTGGGATTTATCCCTTCGAGCCTAGAACCAACAATAAATGTAAGTACTCCCCGCGTAGGGTACAACATTACTTCTCAGCAAGTTTATTGCGATCATTTGAATGTGTTACGATGATTGCTTGACGGGGTGCTCTGGGTTTTTGAGACGTTCGAGGAGTACAATAACCCCAGCTGGTCTTAGGCCGATTCGAATTTCACAGCCTTTAGAAGATGAAAATTTTCTACTAATTTTTCATGGCTGCTGTTGTTTTTCTGTATCCTTCTCGTTCTTATTTCCTTAATATCTTCTTTAATAATTAAGAAATCGTCCACTTAATCCATAATTTTATACATCAAAATTTTATACAATGAAGTTCATGTTAATTGTTATGCAATCAGCAACTAAAGACAAATAAATTTTTTTTCACCGGTTCATTTTGCCCCACCTTCCCCTGCATATCAATTCATACTGATACATGATATACTCCTAAAATTTAATTACGATCGAGTTAAATTAGAAAACGGGTTCAAATTAACGTGTTAAATTTCAATCCATCGATTTTATTATTGTTCACATGTGACGAAGTAAAATAGCACTAAATATGTATATTAACGGCCTCACCTCTAATTTTGTTTTGAAATTTTATTGCGATGTGTGTTATTTCACTGTTATTCGCATCCTAATTTTTCAGGTGTTTGAAACACGAACAGCAGGAGATATCAATTATTTTGTAATAGCACTCTTTAATGTCACTTATGTGGTTCAGTGTTGTATGTTTTTTGGTAGAATGTATTGTGACTAGCTATGAATGATTAGTTGACGTCTAATTTCCTCCAGGTGCTACACATAAATTCAGTTCGTATTATAGAATACAGAATTTCGGGGCTTCACCACAAAAAATAAATATAAAATAAATAAAATAAATATTCATCGAACTCACGCTATCTATTGGTTTAATTACGGGAATCTTTAATTCGCTATTTGTGCAAAGTGTAAATACTGGCTCAAAGCTGATTGTAATACATGGGTCTTAGTACCGTACCTTCTCATATTCCAATTTGTCTTAACACCATAAAAACACCGAACCACCTGCCAACTCTATCTGTAACCTGTTTTTCGACACCAGGAATTTAATGATGGGGATCGATACAAAAAATTAAGGTTTTAAACTTTTTTCCCTATGAAAATAGATGAGGCCCCTTACATCCATATTCACTAAAATAGCTATAATTTCTGTATCTGTCATTTTACTATAATCATTATTATTGACTATCATTATTATTATCATTTTTATTTCATAAACAAGCAATGTTTTTTATAATTTTTTCAGTCTCATTGGAAAATATTATAGCCGATGTTCACGAATTGGAGAAAGGCATGGATCAAGTAAGAAAAGAATTTGAATTACGTGGCAAAGAAAAGCATAATACGGTGTTGCGAGATTTTCTAAACAACTCTGAAGAAAAACTGAAGAGACTCAAATCAGATGCTAGAATAGCTAGCGATGCATTCAGAGAGTGTGTGGAATTCTTTGGGGAGAGCCCTAGACAAGCTGATGCCAATACGTTCTTTTCATTGCTTGTTAGATTCACAAGAGCTTTTAAGGTAAAAATCTGTCAATCTTTCTCCTACCTTTATATTTCCGATGATCAATTTTTTTTCTTTATACAACAACAAATTTTTGGTGAAAGCTATTTTAGAATCATATTCCCCCAATTTGTAATTATAGAAAATTCATGATAAAAAATATACATAGAACGTAACTAAAAAAATATCTAAGACTAAGCAAAATCTGTAATTACTACCTATTTTTTTTACAGATTCTTTGTGTCCACTTGCAGTTTATAGCATTTTTACGCACTTCATTGCAATTTATTCGTGTAGTACGATTTTTCATTTTTCTAAGTTCAATAAAAGGAGAATCATCATCTGATTATAATATATTTTCACGCTGTTGACTTTCTTAAGGCTTCTAGCGGTTCAGGCGTTCCCTCAGTTCGTAAAGTTCAACGAGCCGCTCGGCCATTTTGCACTCTGTCGTTGTCAGCCGTTCAAGTCTATAGGTGTCAGTGTGTTGTCCTTGCGAGCAAACTCGTAGAGCCGTTCAATACTGTTCTTATCGACATACATATCCTTGGGGCAGGTGGTTCCGAAGAGGTTTCACCGAATGTTATTTAGGCCACTGCAGATAGCGCTTAGGTGGCGCGGGTACTCGTCTGTGAGTCCCTTTTTTACGAGAACGTGGGTTCGCCAACACCACCCAGCCACCCTCTCACTCAAACCTGAGCCCAGCCCAATCGTTCGCTAGTCAAGAATCTCATATCTGAGTAGTGCCTTTAGCGGGCCCTTTCTATTAGAGCAGATGTATATTTTCTTGACCTTATCCCCTCTATCGAGGATTATCCTGACACAGGCCATCAGGGCAGCAATTCTGTTTGGAGTACGATTGCATACGATTCCAGCCTGAGGGTCCTTAAAGTTGCAGGCCCCTACGACCAGACCCGGTCGCCAATTCTGAAGCAATCTGTGTAGCAGATTAGGTCGTTTGGGGCGTTCATTCCGCAAACCTTAATCTCACGATTTTCATCTGGAAATAGGAAATAGAAATGTAGCCACTGAATTGGTGAAAAGACACTCATGTTTTTATTTTTATTTTTATTTTCAACGTGATTCGTCACAAGATGCAACTCGCTTTTGCCCGAGGGCCTTCAGCCAGTGAGTTACATGAGATGACCTATAATATGAATTTTTGTGTGCATGATATACATACATATGACTGAGTTTTTTTTCTACAGCTTTATTTGATGCGTTTTTATATATTATTTAGTGTGATGACAATGAGCCTTAAATAATAGCGATTTGCTGAATTAGAGGCACACAGGTGTTTTGGTGACTCTTGAGTGTGCGATTACTGGTCCCAGGAGTTGGACTTTTGACAGTTCTGTTTGATTGGTTTCAACTCTTCAAGGAAAGTATAGTGGGGATATTTATAATGCGTTCTGGTGTTGGAATTCCGTATTTAACAGGTCAGGAATATGGTCCAATTTGTTTTCCAAGAATTGTAAAATGGGTGCCATGAGTCTGTGATTGCCATCGATTTAGTGTGTTCGTTTAGGAGTGTGTTGAAGGCCTGTGGCGCGATTGGCTGTTTGGGGGTTTTAGTAACGATACATATTTTCATTCCAATGGCTGGGGATATCCTATACCGATATCCAAAGAAATAGCGTAGAATACCGTCTTAATGAGCGTTTTTTTAATTTGAACAATGTATTTTCTTCTTCTCAAATGCCATTGTATTTATATGACCAAATTGCTCTGAAAAAATGAATGAGATTTACATAGTCAATGATATTAAATAACATTATTACATTTTGTATTCGAGGCGGCGGATCTGGAGAATGAGCAAAGGAGGCGATTAGAAGCAGCTGCTGCAGAAGCCCTGAACACTTCAGAGGAAGTAATCATGCGAAATAAACTTAATCAAAAGAAACAACAGGTAAATATTTGAAATATTGAGTGCACAGTATATTTGTTCCTATTTATGCCCATAGCAATTACGTCAAAACCATAATCACATCATAATCATAGTCATGCCTTTTGAGACTCTCTATATCTTTTCAGTATTTTTGACTTTTTATTCATTGATTATTTGATGTGGTAAGAATTGCAATAATATTGTTTTTAACTCGTTGCATATCTATTCCAACATGAAAGATATGCGGTGAGACGAGATGAGCAGTAAATAATGAATGTTCGAGAAACAGTAAATTCGAATACCTATCACTGAAACTTTATAGCAGAGAGAACACGAGAGAATACTCTTTTCCATCATATTTACTCGAAAAGTTCGATTTCACTTCTTGAATGACGGGAAGAAAGTGGCCTATCCTATCCCTCACATTTCTGTTGTTTTCGAGCATCTTCGGGATGACATAACCAATCACTTACCAAGAAAAATCGAACTTTTCCGCCTGGTGATTACGAAAAGAACAATGTGCACCAAGGAAGGGAAGCAGAACATTCAAACCCGCGGATTTATCACCCTCGGCTTCGGCTCAGATCGGAAATACATACGCGGGTTAGGATGTCCCGTTTTCCTCCGTTGGGGCACAATATTTAATATACAACGTTGAAGTGTAAAGTCAAAATCTATTTTTAGGCACCACTAGTAAATATATATAATAGTAAATGCTACAATTCCTTGTTGTTTTTGTCCAATTACGTCCAATTAGAGTCGCCTGACTTTTTCTCAGCTGCTTACTCGCTACAGTCAAGTCAAACTTGTGCTTGATCTGCTGAGTAAGGGAAGACTCGGTTTTTTGCAATCAAATTCGAATTTCGAAATAGAAAAACTAAGGAATTATGAAATTTTAAAGACAAGTATTTCTAATCAGTTATTGTACGCTAACTTATTGATACAGTCTATTTTCGAACTAAAACCTAGACATTGATTTCTTCAACTGCGTATCGCTATATCTCAAATTACAGTTTTAGTGATAAAAATTACTAAAAAATAATCAAATATACGCAGATATACTTAAATATATAATTTATAGTATATACTATTTGCAGTAAGCAATTATAGAATTTTTATCATTAAGATTGCTCAAACCGTAATTGATCGAGATAAAATGGGAGAAACACGATTTCCTGTGAATGTTTCTTTTTTGGTACCACAAATTCACTGAATTTTTTTGAAAAAAAATCGGGTCCTATTCGTTATAAGCCAGACCTTCTCTTTTATGACGAAATCTCATGGCACGTGATATGCAAAGAATAGATAACCATGTTGGTTGAGTGAATAACCATAAATTAAAAAAAAAATACATTAAAAAAAGATTCTAAATCCGTTCATATTTACGGGAGTTATGCTCTTAAACGCTAAACACATGAAAAAAATCGTAGCGGGTTTCTGGTATCGTCAAAAAATCTAAAAAAATTGAATAGTCATCTAATGCTGTATACAATATGGAAAAAAATCGGCGATACAATCGAAAGGGTTGAGGGTTTGAACACAGTTGAGTTCACTCAGATTACTCCATACACTCCATATATAATATCTTGGATTCAGCATGATTCAATCTGTAGTTAATTATGATGTCAAGGACGTGAAGATTATTGCGCGTGAAATTATGAGGTCACATGTTACACTTATATTCTTCTCTAATTAGTTTGCGGGTTGATTAAAGTAATTGATGTTTTTGTAAAAGTGAACTGTTCAAAATGATGCATTTAGCGTTTATTCAATATTTTATCGACACTAGAATTATCTTTCGATTGTAAATTATAGATAGATGAACAACATAAAATCTTTACAGTCACATTTTAATACTTCATTTCGTAAACTGCAAATTTTTATTACTAATGTTTCAGTAACTCCTCTTGTGATAACATGCTTGCAAGATTGAATTTACAATGTATTAGTGTTATCAGCAGTTTACGACTTCAGCTTAGAATTAAGCAGTTATTGCCGATTTTTTACCGTAATTTCTGAGAAACGTGTTAAAAGTGAAGTGAAAAAATACACCATTCTAAGTATTATTATTATTCAATATCCCTCGAACTTTCATCGGCATGGAAAAATTTTCCTACGTTTGCAGTAAACTTTTATAAAAATTCACGAAGTTTTACCAAAAATTCCCGTTTGAAAAATGCAACTGTAACAAAATTTGAAGTAATTTGATTCATTTTGCTATATATATAGCATTAATAGTCGTCGAGACCAACCGTTACATATCCTTCGAGATGTAGATATCTATACATATATAATACTATTTTATTTGATTGCCGATCACTTTAGTGACACTACGATTTTAATGGCCACAAAGCTCGGAAATGATCCTTTTCAAAAGATTTCTAATATACTCCCAGAATTATCTGGAAATGGCACGATTTAAACTATAAAAATGATGATTCAAATTGCGGTTTAAAATAATTAATTAATTAATAAATCGTTCCTCCGACGAATTGAATGACTGTAATAATAAAATAAATTTGAAAGTGGAATAAGACGGCTATCATTCGCTATTCAATTCGGCCTTCGAGGCTCGACGAAATTAAAAACATAAATAACAAAAAAAAAGACATAGACGAGTAAACACGACATAATACTATTTTCTTAATCACGATCTCAAATAATAAAATAGTAATCAAAATAGAAATGTCAATATCGAACTGAATCTAGAGGCTTTTTTACAAGTCAAAAGATAAAATAATTAATGAAAATTACAAAAAGCCAAAAATATCGCGATCCAGGAATTTATAATTACCACAATAATCTGACACGGCAAAGAAAAGTGGCGAGAATAACAATCTAATCGAAAATAATATCTTCGACCGTTTACATGTCCGAATAAATGCGATGGTATTTAGCTAACGGAGGTCGGAACATATAAGACTAATGTCTCGAAGAATGTCCAAATGACCTAGAAACAGATCATCTGCGTATTCAGAAATCGATATAAAGTCCACAGAGTTAGATGAAACGAGAGTTAAATACTTCTGATTTGAAATATAACCGAGTCACTGAATTCAACTAATCAAAGACTAATCAAAACATTTCAATAAATCAAAATAATAAAAGAATCGGACCCGCGAGAAAATGTCTACATACCAAGAAGCGAGTGGCATCCAAGAATCCACAAAAGCTCATATGGCGTCAATCGCCACCGACCACAGTGTCCGTCCAATAATTCAAAAACCTAACTCGCTCCTTATTTCAAAATTTTACCGCTTACCAGTCTCAACCCCGTAGACGAAGATGTAGCAGTCCCAGAAACTCAAATAAATCTCTCCGTTCCAGGCTGTATGAAGAGCAAGCCAAAATCTCTGAGTCTCTGTCAAATAAGGTAGCATAAATTAAATGGGTACGCGAGAAAAATTACAACCACCGCGTAGCCCTGGAAGTCCCGACAGAAAGTGACCGGTGTCCATATTCTGACCCGCGTGGCAACGCTTCCCCCAGTTAGACGATACTGTGATTGGAACGCTATGACAAGAAATAAGCTCCGATTGGACCTTGACATTGTATTCAATCAAACCAGCTCAAGTCAAACATAATTTGCACCAGCAAAAATAAATAAAAATAAAATTTAAAATTAATTGAATTAATTAATTAATTAATTAAATTTAATTTTAAAAATAAATTTTAAATGATCTCTCAAAAATGTCGAACTAATTAATATTTTATGATAAATCATTCTAGGCATCTGATTTTCGCCAATTAGGTCTCCTTTTCAAACAATAATTTATCATCTGAGGCTCCAATTTTCCAACTCCCCGATACAGGGGTCGCTATCCGGTTTTCTAAATGAACCAAACTCGGATGCGGGCCGTTAAAAACGCTGGCCCCGATATCATGTACCACACCTTCCCATACTAGGAAATATGGCACCCACGACATATTTCCCTAGTTCCAGTGCCCATCCCATGATGAATCACTAATGAGCGGTGCAATGATTCCATGCAAAGCAAATAACCATGAACAAATTAGAAAAGTCCATAATTATTAATTAATTTAGCTTTTCACGTCGCCACTCGCGAGACGTCTTGTCTGGAATTACAAAGCACCAACGAACGGTGTAACGAGATTTTTCTCGTTACTAGTGAAAACACTAGTAAAGTCAGTAGGTGAAAGGAACGACATCTAACGCCGGCTGAAATAGCCGAGCGAAAGATGAGTAGAACATCGGACGACGGCCAATCAGGCCGCTCCGAAGGTGAATTTGACCAATCACATAGTGGGAACAAACGGGGTAGGGTGAGACCATGTTTCGGAACACTGTGATGGCGCTGACGATAGTTGTTTCCCAATTCGGAAATCCACCCAGCTGTGTTAGGGAGTCCAGGGCCGACGTACAGGCCTTCCAACTGGGTGGTTCCGAAGGGCGCCGTCGACTTAGACCAGGGACCAACGGCTAGGTGAAAGGACTAGCGCCCCCGGGATCCCGTCGAGTTGATTGGCGGCTGTGGGGTAACGGATGACCCACAGTCGCTGAGATGCTCAGACTAGGGGGAGAAGGCCCTGGTAGATTTCAGGACAGTTCGCGTTGAGTGCTGGTCTCGAGCAGATGTTTCAGGAGCTCAGGATCAGTTGGTGGCAATAATCCCTGCCGACATCATGAAGGGTACGCGGTTCCAAGGAATCTTGGAATAGCGAGAGAAGGGGACACTTATGTGTCCCCGATCAGTGCAATGGATTACTTTGAGGCTACGGACGAGAGTCCGAGGCTACAGAGATCGATCTCTAGGGCGAAATCCAGGGTGCTGGGGTGGACTATACTGTAGTCTATACTATAGACTATAAGTGTGTCAGGGAATGTATAGACTCTATACAGTGTCATCGAAGTGACCAGACGTTATAATGGTTCTATACATCAATATATATATATATATTTATTTCGGTGTCATTAAAATTATCAAAAAAAGTAGAGTCGAAATGAACGAAAGCGACAGTAATAGTAAAACCCTAGTCTGATTTGTGGAGTTATATGAAGG